GAGCAAGCGAGAGAAAGAGAAACACGCAGAGAGATGGAGAGACAGAGGGACAGAGAGACTCGTTATATATTTATACATACGTGCTGTTAATTCTTTCATATATGACTTAAATACAATAATTATGTTGTCTACTTACCTTGACCTCTTCATTTTCTGGCTTGATCTTAGATCGTTCATTTCATCACAGTTTTTAAAAGCTGTATATTTTTCGCAAAGCACAGATTTATCCACAGGCCACAAGTTTTGAAACATGCTGCTTATGTTGTCTTCATTTTCAATTACTTTCTAATTTTCTTTTCATTTTTTTTCTTTTATCTTTGTACTGCGATAGATCTGGTTTAGTTTTTCAATACCTGGAGTTTCTGTAGATTTCTGGTTGTTAAATGTAGATTCTAAGTGTTTTCTTTTGTGGGCAGAGGATATATTCTGTATATTTTGAGACCTGCAAGCTCATTGGGACTTGTTTGATGGCTCTGTGTAGGGTCTCTCTGAACTCAACAAGTGAGTTTGAAAGGACAATGTATTCTGTGCTGAATGTAGTGATCTATCCACATTAGGTAAGACATGACTGGGAATGTTACTTAGGTTATTGATTTTTTTTTGTTCTATTCTATTAATTACAGAATGAAGTGCAGAAATCCTATTATAATTGTGAATATCTCTCCCTTTAATTATATCCATTTTGCTTCTTATATTTTGAGCCTGCTAAGAAGACATTAGGTAGTATACTCACTTGAGAATTCAGATACCCATGTTACCTCAAGCATGACCTCTGTTCAGTCTTTCTCCTTGAAAAAGATTGTATTTTTTCTGGGCTTTTTAGATGTCAAGTAAGTTTGAACCGTATCCTCGATATTTTCGAATGTGATTTTTTAGAAGACTGGGTTGTCATATTCCTTCAAAAATTATTGATATTTTCTTTCAACAGCCCACTAGCTCGGCTAAACTCAAACCGTCAGCTGTTTCTTGCCTGCTGAGGTGTCAGTTCAGACCCCTGGTTCTCAGGGCTCTTTGAGTCTGTCTCCCAAGTAAAGAGTCCGAGGCTGGCCAAGGCTTGGGCGGAGTTTTCATGGAGATCAGGCTTCCTCTTCTCTTGACTCCTTTTTTTTTTTTCCCCTTTCTTCCCCTTGTCTTCCTCCCAAAGTTGTAAGCATCCACACCGAATGCAGTCTCCACATAGCCATGGCTACAGCAAAGAATCAAATCAGAAAACTCACCCATTTCTAATATCCAGTAAGCTGCTACTTCTCTCCAAAATCTGTTTGTGTGTGTGTGTGTAATGGTAATGGAGCTTGAACTCCAGACCTTGTGCTCTCACTTTTTCTGCCCAACAATGGTACCCTGCCACTTGAATCATGCCTCCACTTCCTCTTTTTGACATTTAATTGGAGATAAGAGTCATGGATTTGCCTGCTGCGGTTGGTTTCAAACTGCAACTGGAAGACCTCAGTCTCCTGAGTAGCGAGGATTGATAGGTGTGAGGCACTGGTGCTAAGCTAAATCTGCCTCCTGGTGAATATTTGAGCATTTTTGGGTGATGAGTGGCCGGGTTCTCAGGTGTCTGGTGCCGTGGGGAAGAGGGTCTGTGTGTTAGAAGTTTATCCATCATTACCAGAGGCAAAATGATTTTGTTGTCATTGTACCAGTGAGGAAATGAAGATCTGGAGAGACTTGAGGGGTTATAAAGATGGCATTGTAGCAAGTCAGTTTGAGTCTGTGTTTAACTGACCAGTGGGCACTGTACCCCATGCAGTGTCTTGGAGTAGAAGCCCTGAAATACCTTCACAGACACATCCCGTACCTGAGACAGAAGTGGTTTAGGATGCAGCTCCTTCCTTCCTTCCCTCCCTTCTTCCCTTCCCTCCCCTCCTTTCCTCTCTCCCTGTCTCTTTCCCTCCCTTCCTCTCTCCTATCACTCCCTCCCACCCTCTTCCCTCCCTCCCTCTCTCCCTTCCTGCCTCCTTCTCTTCCTCTCTTTCTCCCTCCCTCTCTTTCCCTTCTTGCCTCCTTTCTTCTTTCCTTCCTTTCTTCCTTTCTCCCTTCCTCTTTCTAGTGGAGTCAGGGAATCAAGTCAACCACCCCTACTCTGAAAGCCAAATTCAAACTTACGTGTACCCAGCAGTGACAACTTCCCTCAGATCCTTGATCTAGGCTCTGTGACCCAGAACAGCACTTGAGGAAACCCTGCCTGCTCTAAAATACCCCCCAGGAAACATCAGGAACTGAATATATACAATAGATTTCATAGGCCACACATCTGGACACTGAAGAGATGTGGTTTCCTGGCAGAGTTCCTCAGTGGGAGAGTGCTTGCCTGGCTTGTGTGAGTCTCCAGGTTCAATTCCCACTGCTACCACCACACAGCAAAGAAGTTAGTTCAACTGAACTGAATAGAGCTTAGTTGGGTGGAAAGATACAAGCATGAAGTTTATTTTATTTTGGCCTCCCCATTGGGTCTCCTCTCCTTTTTCTCCTTGGGCTCCCTTCTCTCCTTTCTCTTGTGAAGGATTGCTGAGTCTTGAGAACTACTTTGGTTGTGATCAGATGTTCCCAACAGAAAATTACCCTCATCTATTTTAGGTTTAACTTGACTCTTCAAAGAGAAACAGTCTGATTAGCCTTATAATCACAGTGAGAATTGGGCCCTGCAGAGAATGCTCCAGAATTAGTGTGGGTACACGGGTAACATTCTCACACTGGCATTGATCTTAAGATGGAATCACAAGGCTGGCCCTTTAGAGGTTCATCCATTCAACCACAGATAATTCAGAGCAGAAATTAAACTCAAGGATGAGATGAATCTGCCCCACCCAGAAGGCTGCAGAGCTCAGCCTGTCAGAACGGGCAAGAGCTGAAATGCCCAGCATCCCTGAACAACCACAGCTAATGAGAACACTTGTTCCTCCTACATCCTGGCCCACCGCCTGTCTGTCTGGTCCCTTACTCTATAACTATATTTGAGCAGTGGCCAGGAGGGCAGGTAGAGAAAATGGAATGTTCATAATGAAATTGAAGATCGAAGAAATAATAAGGAAAGCAAAAGCCTGGAGGTAACGTTGCTATTGATTGAACGTGGTGGAAAACACTGTTTGGAAGAGACCAGGGCCTGCTTTCCGTATGTGAAACAAGGGACGTCTCTCCTGAGCGAGACTTGAATTGCCATATGATTCGTTCTTGGACATGTCCCTGACGGAGGGGGGGGGGGTCCCCTCTGTAAGTTTTGGGGCTGTTTGGAGATGGCATGACATAGTGGAAGGTACTGGATTTAGAAGTCGGTCCTACCTGAGTTCAAGGCTTAACTTTAATTCTGTGACCTTGGACAAGTTATTAGCCTTCCTGATCCTCCTCCTCCTTCTCTTCCTCCTCTACTCCTCCTCCTCTTTCTCCTTTCCCTTTTCCTCCTCCCATACTTATAGAAGTTTTAGAAGAAGCCTTGCAAGTTTATTATAAAAGTCAGATGAGATTCTCTGATTAGAGTTACCAAGCTACCCCAAGCAGGCAAGTAGCTAGTCATGTTATGTGGTCTCCTCAAGGTCGGCTCTGGGCAGAGCCTGGGCCGAGGTAAGGCTAAGCGAGGCTTCTCGGTGTCCCCCTTGGCACCATACTTGCCTCTTCCTGGTCCAGGCGGTGTGCCTGGGTCATAACAAGGTCATCTGTGTCAGACAAGGATGAGGATCTCGAAGTCAGTGTGCCTCCTCCCCACACCACAAGCTAGACCGTCTCACAGGTGGCACAGTTGAGACCCAGAAAAGCTGTACAGTGTGGCTTCAACCGATCAGTTACTGGTTAAGCAAACCTGAAATTTGGATCCAGAACTCTCTACCCCAACCTTACACCATCCACATTGTACAGCGCTCACAGCCTACCAGCTCTCTCAAGATAGGAAGAGGGTGTGTGTGCCCCAAATTATTGGCACATTGCACTTAATATACAGAACTCGTTTACATTCTGGCGTTAAGAAGTAAATATCTATTTACCAATGGAGAAATGGGGGAGGGAGAGAGACACTCATACAGCCTTATAACTTGAATGCAGAGAAATGGTCGTAATAAATATCAACCCACACCACAGTCAGCTCTCAAAGAAGAATAGTTTCTCAGGTTCCACAGGGAATCTTGAACTCACAGACGCTCACCCCCATTGGTACAAGAGAGAAATTGCCACTTGGAGCCATTCCCTGTCTCCTCCAGGAGAGGGTGTGTGAAGAGGGTTACTGGAGGAATATGGGAGGTGCAACCAGAAAAACAGGAGTAGAGACTCGAGGATCCCACTAAAAACACAGGTCTGGTTCAGAAGATCTGTGTGGTCCAGGATTCTATATTTCTTTCCTCCCTTTTTTTTGTTCTTCCTTCCCCCCCCCTTTCTTCTTTTCTTCCTTCCTTTCTGCCTTTTTTTTTCTTTAAATAGGATTTCACACTAACCAGCCCCCAGACCCAGAAAACATAGCTGACCTCAGACCAAGGTCTTCTACCTCACCCTCTTGAGTAATGAGGATTACAGGCGTGTACCACCACACCTGGCTATTGTATCCATCAGCAGCTCCAAATTCATCATCTGCTCCTCCAAGCAACACAGCTTTCCAGTACTAAGAATGCTGCCACAGGGCAGAAGACTGAAAAGCTTTGATTCCCTCCCCTCTGCACTCCTTTGTCTTTTGACCCTAGGCAAATCCCTTAAACCCAGACTGAGCAAAGGGCAAGTGGAATGTGTAACCTGCTGGGAACCCTGGGGAACTGGTGAGCTCAGCCATTTTCCAACACAGGGACTCACCGATTTTTGCCCCCACTAAGAATACCTGATGAGTGACACTGCCACACATGAGACATTTCCATTTTATCTCCATGAAGTGAACACGTTGGTCAGGATCTCTGGAGAGCAACGAGTTCAGCTTGAGAATTCGAAATGTGTAGAGTGAACTGCTTGGAGATTCTTGGCTTGTGAATCTGGCCCAGCATGGCAATTCCCAGCATCCCTCCTCACTGTCCAACGTCTTTTTACAGGGGAAATCTGTGCGTTCAAGATACACGGCCAGGAGCTGCCCTTTGAGGCCGTGGTACTCAACAAGACATCCGGGGAGGGCCGGCTCCGCGCCAAGAGTCCCATCGACTGTGAGTTGCAGAAGGAGTATACATTCATCATCCAGGCCTATGACTGTGGTGCTGGGCCCCGGGAGACAGCCTGGAAGAAGTCACACAAGTGAGTGAGTGCCCAGCCAGAGCAACCTAGACACTGGCCCCCTTCCGTTCACCGTGCAGATATGTCACACCTGCTCTCCAAGCCCCCTAGGGCCATTTGCACAAACCGTTTTCTACTCAAGGAATATTCTACCTATATTTCCTGCCTGGAGGTTACTCCTAGATCCACCTGCAGGACCTAGTTCAAGGGGTCACTTCCTCCAGGAAGGCTTCTCTCAGCCTACTCTTCCCTGAAGCCCTAGTCGAGACTTTGCTCTGGGTTTCCACAGTGCCTCGTGCCTCTCCCTGTCACAAGACTCCCCATCTTGAGCTGTGTCTGTTCTGTCCATGATCAAGTTTGGCTCAGAGTCTTAACACAGTGAGGTTCCTTTCTTCCTGAATGGAAGGATGTGTAAACAATGAGTAGAAAAGAGAAAAGGGAGCAGATGAACAAGAAATACATTGCTGAGAGGCAGAGGCAACAGGAAGGACAAGAATGGTGGATTTTCTGGGGAAGATTCACTCAGAACATGGGCAACGGGGCAGGGAGATGGGCCCAGTGGAGGGAGGACAGAGCACTCAGGCAGCAGTCATCCAGCCCGGCTTGAGCTGCCTCCCCCACCCCCACTTGCCCTTGGGCTGAGTCAGTGCCCCAGGAAGCAGGAGGGGATGCTGGGAGCTATGACACTCTCTCTTGTCTTTCTGATCCATGCTCCAGGGCTGTGGTCCATATCCAGGTGAAGGACGTCAACGAGTTTGCTCCCGCTTTCAAAGAGCCAGCCTACAAGGCTGTGGTGACAGAAGGCAAGATCTACGACAGCATCTTGCAAGTGGAGGCCATCGATGAGGACTGCTCCCCACAGTACAGCCAGATTTGCAACTACGAAATCGTCACAACGGATGTGCCTTTTGCCATTGACAGAAATGGTGAGTGTCCTGAAGGACTCCAGTGAGGGTCAGGGAATTAAGCCAGCCCTACCACCACCACCCCTACCCCTGACTTTCCTAAAGACCGAGTACAGACCCCCGAATGGGCCTGGCAGTGATATCCCTGCTCAGACTCTTGATCTGGGCTCTGGAACACAGAGAAGTACTTGAGGAAACCATCTTCACATGACTAGCCCTGCCTGCTCTAAAATATTCCCAGGAAACCCCAGAAACTAAATACACATGGTAGATTTCACAGGCCACATATCTGGAGACTGAAGAGATTTGGTTTCCTGATAGAATTTCCCAGTTATTCTGATAGCAGTCATACCGTTGGCCTGGCCATCTCTGGGTCCCTCCTCCCCAGGACAAGTTGTGACATGACCCACCACTGCCCAACAACCCATTTTCTGTTCCCAGGAGATGCTCAGGGAGAAACAAAGAGGGGGATGCTTTTTTTTAATCCAAGCCATGGATATTGTCAGGAATCCTGAAGGCTCCTACCAACGTCCCTTTTCAGAATTTTAATCCTAATTAGAACCTCATGTCAAACCGAAAGGACTTGAAGTGGTCCCATAAAACTATTTGGATTATTTCCGATTTTTTTCTGTCACCATTAATATCAGTCTTGTTATAGAGTAAGCCTGCCAGCTGGAGGCCTGACCTACTCAGACCTGTAATTTTCCATTCTTTGATTATAATCAACTTGTATTATTTGCCAAGTATATTGTTAGTTACTAGAATGAATGTGTTAATACCTGTATATAATCCTTACATTGCTTAAAATAACATGCAAAGACCTCACAAAGATGCAGCATTTGCAAGAATCCATGTTCATGAGCTCTGATGACTGAAAGAACACTGTGATTAGTTGTAGACATTGATGGAACTCAAAAAACAGTCACAGACTAGGCACCAGTAGCTCATACCTGTAATCCTAATTACTCTAGAAGCTGACATCTGAGGATCACAGTTCAAAGCCAGCCCAGGCAAGAAAGTCTATGAGACTCTTATCTCCAGTGAACCACCAGAAAAACCAAAAGTGGTGCTGTAATTCAAGTGGTAGAACACTATCCTTGAGCAATAAAGCTCAGGGCCAGTGCCCAGGCCCTGAATTCAAACTCCAATTTGAGCATATTCAAACATACACACACACACAGAATGAAACTCACTATATAGTGAAGACAAATGATAAAATAAGAGGCATCAACGGTGATATTAATGTAGAAGGCATGTCATGAGCCAAAATTGGCCAACAAATTCCCTCTAAACCTGTGAGAGACAATCTCTACAAGGAAATACCTTCAGTCACTTTCTTGTTGTTGTAAGTCTTACTGGTGTTGAGGGCAGGTAGAAACTTGCTCTGTTATATAATGTTATGCATCCTGAGAACAACGGCAGACTCCATAGAGAATGGAACCAAGTAACCCCCTCTTCCCTGGCCTGAGCCAGTGGTGTATCTTGAAGGACAAGCTAATCACCATAAGACCAAAAAAAAAAAAAAGAAAGAAAAAATAGCAATAGATTAGTTTTACTATAAAAGGTGTAGGAAGGACAGCTACAGACCTGGGCATTGCTAGATGCTAATTGTACAGGTTAGGAGTTCAATGCACAAGAAAGGAAAGGGGAAATGCTAGATTTGAGTTAATGTTCCATTCTGGACCAAAAAGAGGATTGTTTTAATTAGCAGAGGCTGCCAGAATCAGAAATAAACACTGATAGCTTGCCCTGTAAGATACCTGGCCTGTCCCCATCCCCCCCCACACACACACACACGTGCGCATGTACATGCAACATACACATATCTATAGAACATCTGCTTAGTGTTTTCTCCTCCAGATTTCTATTCTCCTGTAATCAGTTGTGTAGCCTGTCCTCATAAAGGCTTTGGAGTTTTTCTTTTTTGGTACCAGGACTGGAGCTTGAATCCAGGGCCTTTTCCACCCAAAGCTAGTGCTCTTCTCTCTTCAGACATAGCTCCACTTCCAGGTTTTGGTGGTTAGTTGGAGATAAGAGTCTCATGGACTTTTCTGCCTGGGCTGGCTTGGAACCTCAGTACTCAGATCTCAACCTCCTAAGTAGCTGGGATGACAGACATCAGACATGAGCCACTGGCGCCCAGCTAAGTAAGGCTTTTGGAATTGGGGGAGTGACAAATCCATGGTGAATAAATAGCAAGACAAGACAAGTGGAGGGATCTGTGAGAAGTGGCCAAGCTCCCCTTGGCCTCCTGCCCCTCCCCCGCCATCTCGAGAGCCAGCACCCAGTGAGAGACGAAATGCCAGTTCTTTCATCTGAGGGTAAACTGCCCCAGTCATGAAGATAATTACTCACCTTGATGAGCCATTTCACTAACATATGCCAATTTATTTCCCTGGCTGTCTCATTAAAAGTGAGTAATGGGCCTTTGCCAGGCCTCTGCCTCTAACTTTGGTTTACAACCATAAGATGAAGAGGAGAGTGGGCAGTCCTGAGGAGCGCAGGCCCCAACAGCGAGGTTTACGAAAGCAGTTCTCTAAGTAATGAAGGCAAGACCTAGGGGCAGACACAGAAGCAGCTCCCATTCTAATGAGCTTCCCAGTTGGCCCTCATCCATCACTTCTCTGGATGACCTTCTCAGCTCCTTGAACAAGTTCTTTGCATACATGCATAGCAGGGCAAGTGCTGCTACATCAGGGGAGCTCTCATCGAAGCCTGGGTTTTCTACACCTTTCACCATGTGACGTTCAGGTAGCTGATTCCTGGTCATTCCTACCTGCCAATCTCTGAGCTGGGGGAAGAAGAGAAGCAGGACAAAAAAGACAGAAGACACAATATAGAGTTAGCCTGGTCTGCCTTTTTTTTTTTTTTTTTTTTGTCAGTCATGGGGCTTGAACTCTGGGACTGGGCGCTGTCCCTGTGCTCTTCAGCTCAAGACGAGTGCTCTACCACTTGAGCCATAGCTCCACTTCTGGTTTTTTGGTGGTTTATTGGAGATAAGAGTCTCACAGACTTTTCTGCCTGGGCTGGCTTTGGACAGTGATCCCCAGATCTCAGCCTCTGAGTAGCTAGCATGACAGGTGTGAGCCACCAATGCCTGGCTAACCTGGTCTGTCTTTAACTTGAGTCTCTTCCAACTGGAGGCCCTCAGTTTCCCTCCTGGCATAATCTTGACAGTAACAGCCTACCACATATGGGGTTCTGAGGTCTCACAAAGAGGCTAGGGGAGAGAATAACATTTTCTGTGTACTCTTACCTGAGTTTAGTGTACGTTCAGATCATCTGACAAGGTCCTAAGTAAGAAAACTCGTCCAAAGATGGCAGGAAAAGACCCACTGGCAACCATCTCTAAGATGGATGGCTTTCTCTGAGCTTTCAAAACATGTTCCATGTGTATTTTGTCCAAATTTGACACTCCTTTACACAACAATGGCATCTTTGACCCAGTTCTTCAGATTCTATTTTGAAATATGTTCACACACACGCAAAGCTGCTGTAGGTAGAGAGGGCAAACAAGTTTCCCCAAACAGTTTCATTAAGATTTGTTTACTGAAGGGGAGCTGCCACAAAGTGAGCCACAGACTCAGCCCCTGTGTGTATTTATTTTCTTACTACAATCAATAGTGTTTCCTTTGTCTGCTTAATGTCACACAGATGGTAAACCCCAAGTCTCCTTCCACTAAGAGAAGTTATCTTTTGAGAGTCATTTACCTTTAAAGAAAGGGGAAGTCCAAACTTTTTGCTCATAATTCAATTTGGCACTGTGGATAACAGACTACTCATGGTTTTAGTAAACTTTCCACCGATCCCTCCTCTGCAACCACTGTAGTTTCAAAGGAGTTGGTTAGGAGAATCCACGGAGAGCATTCTAACCCATTTCTGAACCCATCCAAACCCATGCAGTCCTCTGGGACTAAGTACAAAAACAAATATTTGATGGGAAATGAAATTTTGACCATCATACACAGTGCCAGAAATACATCAAACCCACTTTTCTTCAGGGAGTTTTGCCTGACTTCATTAAATTAAACGCCACCTCCAATCAGTAGATGCAGTTGCATTTTTAGAAAACAGCCCAGAGCACATAGTAGGCTCAAATTTTCCATATCTTGTATGCTGTTAAAAGATAGTTCTATAAAGGGAGCTATTTTTGACATGTCCTTCTTGGTCAGAGTAGTCACCCCTCCCTATCATGCTCCCTCATTCCCCCCCTCTTCTCTTCCCAAACTACTGAACAAGTGGGTTCATTGTTCCATTTCACACATGTCTGTAAAGGATTGGGATCAAATTCACCTTCCACTCTCCTCTCCATTCTCCTGCACACACACACCCCCCCCCGACACTCATACCCATAACCACACCCAATATGCTACATTCACGTCACATACATGTTAATTGTCCAAAGGGGTTTCACAGTAGTGAATCATGCAGGCCTATGCAGTACCTCAATCAGATTGACACAGCCTGCTCTCAATTTCCCCATTCCCACCACCCCCTAATACTCAACAGCTTTCAATAAGCTTCATTTTGCTTTCATCATTTGTAGATGCAATATGAATGCAGTATTGTTATTCACCCGCTGATATTCTCTTCTCTATCAATCTCCGGTCATCTTAGTGGTCCCATAGTTGCCAATATCTTACATACACACACACACACACACACACACACACACACACACACATACACGGGATCATGTGTGTTTACATATATATTTATCTTTTAGGACTAGCATCCCCACAGGACCAACTTATTCTAATTCTTGGTCCTATGTTTCGAGTGACTTTGTATTCCACCCATGACACTAAGGTTGAGTGACTTTGTATTTCGCCCATGACACTAAGGTTGAGTGACCTTGTATTCTGCCCATGACATTAAGGTCCTCCATGTCCCCAATCCTGTCACTCCACCTGGTGGCACCTGATGAGCACTGTCCCAGGAGTATTAGGTGGTTGATGCCTCAGTTTGTCTAGCCTTTAAGGTAGAAGCTCTGCTCTCAGTTCCCATCCTTTAGTTAATTTCAGTTGCATGAATAATACACATCACTTGCAATGGGAGAAAACTCATCTAGGTAATTTGCCTTAAGTTTTGATGAAATGCAAGTATCTACCTGAATCAACCATTCTGTGTTTGTTTATTTCTGGATTTTGGCTTGTTTTATAATTTTTAGATTCTTAATTTTGCTTCTGGTAAAAGATTTGCATTCTAGTTGGCATTTGAGTTCTAGTTTGCCTTCACCCTCTCCATCAGACAAAAAAAAAAAACACAGACAGACATTATTCCAGCAAAGGAAGACTTTACTGTCATGGAACAAAACATTTTTATTAATGGGCATAGGGTTATTATTTCTTCTTAGGAACAAAATCATATTCCAACAAAACAGTCTAATACATTTTTTTCTGATTATCAAATATTTATTTCCAAGTGGTAGTATCAAGCCTGCAAGAACAAAGCAATACACTTGACTCTGAAAACATTGGACTTTCTTGGAGAAGAAAAAATAATTTTTTCCCTCTGAGCAAGGAATCTGTTATTCTGTGTAGCTTTCAGAGGGGAGGTCACACGTTTTCTTATTGATTTTACTTCCTATTTGGTAGCAAAATAATGTGAGAAGCAGCAGCGAACACTCCTGGCGACAAGCCCAGATGCTAAAAAATATGTGTCAGGACACTTACTGAATTCCATCCTTTTCCAGAAGTTCCATGACAGATGTACTGTCTTTGCTCTCGATCAGAGACAGCCATGCAGGCCCACCTCAGGAGGGAAGTTTCTGGAAGCCCATTACTTATCAACACAGGCAGTGGATTCCAGATGTGTGCTTGGAATCCCCTCACAGCCCCAGTACACCAAGAGGTGGCTCCAGCCAGTGGCTCCAGGAAGCCACCATCAAAGCATATGGTGGCCTCAGGTGGAGGCCAGGCTTCTATTTGCCCTTGTTAATTTCTTTTTCTTTTTAACAGTCATTTTATTCTTGTCAGGGTTGATGGAGCAGAGAAGGGATGTTGAATGAAGGTGGGATGGTTTGCTTGACCTGAAACGACTTCAAATGTTCTTGTTCCTCAGGCAACATCAGGAACACAGAGAAGCTGAGCTACGACAAGCAGCGGCAGTACGAGATTCTGGTGACTGCCTACGACTGTGGACAGAAGCCCGCTGCTCAGGACACCCTGGTGCAGGTGGACGTGAAGCCAGTCTGCAAGCCTGGCTGGCAAGGTGGGCCTGGGCTTACCAGTCTTGTTATATGAAGGCAGCCTGGCCTGCCCTACAGAGTGTGCTGGATACGGTCACAAACCATCACAACTCTTAGTAGAGGGTTTCTGGAATGTACTTGTTTTGCCACAAGAAATAGACGTATTTATCCAAGAAATGGAGATGCTTTCCCCATTTTACAGTTGGGGTTGTCAGAAGCAACATTACTAATGTCAGTGCCCAGTGGCTTGGCATGGGGACAGCTTTGAAACAGTAGTACTAACCCCACAGTGCACAGGAAAAACGGCCTGAGCATCTGTTGGCTTTACCCAAGGGCACAGAGCACATTCCAAGTTTTCATCCCTTGCTGAACACGTGAGCAAAGATGGTCCCAGTCCTTGTGCTCATACAGACAGGTGGGAGATTCAGAACCCAGCCTTGGGACAAACAGGACTTTGAAAGGTTGACTCTGGGAAGGAAGAAGCCATGGTTCCCAAAGGACATGGAATTTTGTATTGCTTTAGATGAGAAAGCCAATGCTCACGATGATGGGGTCTAACCTAAGGGGAGCAAAGAAGGCTGGGCCAGTGTGTAGGTAGATCTTCTCCTTGAGAGAGAGTCTGCTAGTCCTGACATCCTCACCTCCTGTGAACTCGTGGGGTGCAAAGGCTCTCTCCACTGGGACAGTTTTCAAGCTTCAGAGAAATTTGTATATGTGCATCATGGACAACCAGATATAGGCCATTTCTCAGCCCAGTCTTCTAATTGCTGAGGCTCCAGAGTGTGGAGGGAATTTTCTGTCTGGCATTGTCTGGCCTGGTGTTTTCCAAGTCTGTCTGTCTATTTCCAGAGCATTTGGGCACCAACTTACATGACAATGTAGTCTGCCCACCCAAACTTCCCATTGGCCTCTGCTGAGGTAGAGACAGGAAGTGTCTCTACGAGTGTTTCATACAACTCTCCTAAAGCTAGCTATGACTTTACCTCTGTGTATAGATGGGAATCTGAGAGGCTCTGTGGGAACCCACATAGAGGATGTGGATTGCATGGCCTGTGACCTAGTCTGGGCTGTTGGCAGTCACAGAGGACTTCTTGGAAGAAGAGCGAGAAGAGCTGAGGTTAGGCAGTGGTGATTGCATATCTTAGGACAGCAGCAGGTGAGGTGGCAGGTTGTCAGGGTAACTGGTCCAGGTGAGAAGGGATGATGGCTGTTAAGATGGGAGTATGGGATGCGACTCAGCACCAAGAAGCCCCAATGGCCCTTCAAACACCTGGGTAAAATGGCGCGAGGCTCTGAAGGATCTCTAGATTGAAAAGCGCTTTGGAAGTTGGCTTTAGGAAACAGAACTGCTAAGGTAGTGTTTAAAGCAGCATATTCCAAATGACCCTCAGCGAAGGGCCAGAGGTTTGTTTGCACAGCCATACATGGAACACTACTTTGTGAAATGCTGAGCTGAAAGAACCTTCTTGAAATAAATGAGATAATTTTTAAAAGTAAAAACTGAGTAGTCAACACGATATAAATACAAGCTTACTAGATTCAACAAATACAAAATGACTCTAGCAGACAACTTCTAAAGTAGATCAAGTGATTATTCTCCCAATCTCTGGACTTGATTCACGACAGACATGTAACAGGTAGTGAGAGGTTGGGCCCGGTCTGCAGGCCAGAGCAAGTGCTACAGTTCAAGAACTCACCTTTGGCCCTACCCTCCACAGGGCAGGATTGGCAGGGGTCAGCCGCCCTGGTTAGTACGTTTAGCAAGCCGCCTTTTCATGACCTGACAAGGCAGGACTGGTTCTCCACACGGAGAGTGGCAGGCCACAGAGAAGGTCCCAGGATGCACCTGGGCTTCAGAAAACTGAGATTCCAGAAGCCATCTCAGTTTCCTGGGCTCCCCAAAGTAGCCTGGAAGTGTGCCCTGAGGAACCCTGTGAAAGGTGTGGGCCTCAGGAGGAGGCATAGATGAAGGAAGCAGTAACCTTAGTGTTGGTCTGGCACAAAGCTTCAGTTTTCTGGCATTAGAAAGCTGGAGAACCTTTGATGAGCAACAGTGTTTTTAATGTGTGCGTGCTGGTGCTGGGGCTTGAACTTAGAACCTCATGCTCTCGCTCAGCCCTCCTACCTCTATCTACCTCCACTTCCAGCTTTTTGTTGGTTATTTGGAGATAGGAGTTATTCTAAAATACAATTCTCAGACCTCAGCCTCCCGAGTAACTAGGACTACAAGTATGAGCTACCAGTGCCTTGGCTGGACAAGACAACTTGGAGGGAAATTTTCAAGTAATTTCATTTGACATTTATTGAAAATATCTAGGGAGAGTAAAAGGATTGAAAATACATAGAACTTTCCAAGATTTAAGCCATTTATAAGACAATTTCATTACATACATTAACCACAGCCATTCAAACTAGGTTGAGAGAGGTGTGTGTGTGTACATGTATGCATGTGTGTACACGTACACACACACACACATACACACACCAGCTGTGTTTTGAATCTTCCCTCCTTTCAGTGCCTGGCAGGCTTTCCCCATAGTAGCTGGCCAGGGGCTAGATGTATGACAGATAAGCTAGGTGTGCCATTCCACATGGGCAGTAGCAGGTGTCCTGACCTATGGACTCTTCCCACCTTTGGCAGAATTGGGGTGTGTGTGTGTGTGTGTGTGTGTGCGTGTGCCTGTGCGTGAACATCCTAATATCCTAATTTTTGCATACCTGATTCTTCTTTTATCTCTTAATTATTAACCACTCACTGCATGGCAGACACTGCACGGTGATATCCAAGTCTTGTTCCAGGTGGGCATGGGACATAATGCTGGGATGAACCTTTAAAGGTTTCATTCACAGACAGGAGCTGAAGGAAGAGGAGGCCCAACTGTCGGAACCCCAGCAAGAGCAAGGCCTCAAGGCTCAGCCAGGGACGTGAGCGCAGAGCCACTTACCACCCCTCCCTTTGCCTTTGTAGTTAATTATCTCATTTTAGTCGGAATTAAAAGGTAGTAAAATGCTCTGTGAAAATAAAATATAGTAAATGGAAGAGGGTCAGTAATAAAAGAAGAGGGGAGGGTTCCTTATACTTGTAATTGAGTTCAGAGAGTTTGTAGTTTGTTTCTTTTTAAATGGTGCCTGTGTGTAATTGTTTTTAATTGGAAAAAAGAAAGCCAAATAATTTAATGCTCAGGATGTATGTGCCTATTATGTGTCAGGCATGGGGCTAAATGGTTTGCATTTATTACCTCCTATAATAAACAGTTCAGACTTGGCTGTGTGCATGAAGGAACTGAGGCAGAGAAAAGGAAATGATCTGCCTCCCCCCCCAACACCCTCCTTTCTGTTCCCTCCCCCTGGACATGTTACAAGGAAGCAGGGTTGGTTCCCAAAGCCCCAGTTCCCAGCAGTTACACTCTGTGGTCTCCTTTCACAATAACTCATTAAAATCCTCATCCAGCAAGCACTACTGGATCACTCCCATAATCCTAGCTCTTCAGAAGGCTGAATAGCTAGTCCAAAGCCAGATGAGGCAGAGAAGTTCAAAATGACCAGCACAGTGGGGCTGAAAGTGGTGCTCAAGTGATTGAGTATCAGCCATGAGCATAAGAAGCAAGCAAGGGCAAGGCCCTGAGTGCAGATCCCAATAATGCCAAAAAAAAAAAAAAATCCCTCATGGGAAAAAACCAAGGCTCAGAGAGGTCCAGGAACATGCCCGAGCTTATTCAACTAGCAAGGTGGACAGACGGCTTTGTCCGTGGGTGGTGATACAAGTGGAAATGAGGAGACCCTGATCTTGGAATTATTAAGAACTTTAAGACAAGGACAATGGAGCCACCAACCAAGCACAGGCCGTTCTGAGCCCAGCTGGTCCCAGGCTGGATGCCTCTCCTGCCTCAGTGCCTCCCGCCTCCCTCCGGACGAATACACCATCATACAGCTGCAGACCCAGGATGAGACGCGAACAGAAAAGAATTGAGAAGAGCAGTGAATGCTTCTTGAGGTGTGATTTAAGGAGTCCGGTCAGCCTGGTGCAAAGTTGGCTCCACAGCGACTCGCCGAGGGACCTTCAGGAAATTGTGTCACCCCGTACCAGAGACCAGCTCTCCCCCTCCTCCTCCCTCCCCCTCCCCTCCCTTTCCTCGCCTCTCCTGTGGCCATATTGCAAAGCTGGCTCTGGCTTTGAGACCCCTGATGGAATGGTGAGAAGCCAGTCATCTGGTCCCATCATCTGGCCCCAGAGTTGTTCTTTGACCTTGACTCACAGCAGATACCCTTGAGCCTCTCTCGGCCTGACTCATGTCTAGACTCCCCAGGTCGCGCTGGACTCCTCAGTGCACAAGCCAAGGCCGACTGCTGTTTGCGTCATTTTCTACCTACATCACACCACCTGAAGTCCTGTGGCCTCAAGAGCCCCTGGAGTTCTCCCCTTCCACGTGCCACTCTCCTGAATCTCTGGTGCCATATTAATCACATGTTCTCTCTCCTGGATTCAGAGGTTTTCCTATGGAGGACTTTTCTGACCCTGGAGAGCAAGTCTTTCCCTTGCCTGGCCATTTCTCAGAGATAGCAAAGCACCCATTGGTTCATACAAAATGTAAGGCTCAAGAAACTCAATCATTTTTCTAAGACCAGACAGTCAAGAAGTACAGAACTAGAGTTCACACCAGAGTCTGACAAGCAGCAGTTAACACTCTGAGCTGAGTTCACAGCTGATACCACTGACCATCCCGTCATGTGACCCTACCAGAGGCGACTCCCAGCACGGATGGATCAAGGCATAGCTATCTGGAATGTTCTACCACTCTTGAGTGAAGCTGACTGCTCCAAAGTACCCCCAAACACATACTTCTGGCCTTTTCCAGGCCCAGAATTCCACACATCTGCAGCCCATCTCTCCTTCTTAACCACCCCCTCAGTTCAGATGCGCAGAATGACCAGTTGGAGACAGGCGTGCCCACGGCCACACCATGCAAGTGCACAGTTATCAGTCATTGAGCATCACCGAGAATGGGCTGCAACTCTCAATCACTGCTGTTAGGTATCGGTCAGCTCCTGGGGGCTGTTTCTTTTCCTTGATTGTGGTATTCTTGTGGGTTGCTATTTTGATTGTGATTTTGTTTCTTTCCAGTGTTTTGTTGCCTCCCTCTACTATTTTTCCCTCTACTGACCAGCAATGACAAGATGTCTAGCCCTACTTCAGCAAGTCAGATTGCTGAATGTCAGGAAATCTTTGTGCCTCTTTCTGATCCCAAAAACTGCTCAAATGCCCCATGCTTCTCCCTGCTCTGAAATGAGACACACCCATTCTTAAAAGCCGTGAGGCACAATGGGGAAACTGAGTGACATCAACAACACTCAAAAAAAGGTCATCAGTAATGCATAAAAGATATAAACAGAGAAAACATTAGTGGTTTTATACAATAGAGAAATAAATATGGGACTTGACCTTGGAACAGAACTGATGTTTGGTGGTGAAACCGGACCCATCCACGTCAACCATCCCAGCTTTCCATTGGCTTTGGAGCCTCTCCTCCCTCCGGAGTGTCACAGTGACATGGCATCTGCTCTTCTTCCTGCATCCGCTTCCCCCAGTAAATGCCAGATGGCTTCAAGGTCCAAGTGCTTTGTTTATCTTAGTGCTAGTGTAAAACTGTGCTAATCTCTTTTTCTCCCTTTTTAAAAATGTGTCACTGATGTTTCTGAATGTGGTAGCTTATTCTGTTTTTCCCACAACGCTGAGGAGCTGGTAAATGTTTGTGGCATGTACATGTGTGGTGTGTGTGGGCACACACCTGTGTGTGTGTGTACATGTGTGTTGTATATTCAGTTCAGCTAAGTGTAGCTTGCTGCGTTTCCCAGATATTTCTTAAGTAGAGAAACCTTACATCAGCAAATGGAAAATTTCCATTATCCTATCAACAGTTCCCTTGTATAGTTGTGGAGATGAATGATTTATTGGAAGAAATTCACATTTTCAAAAACAAATGTCCTAGCAGGATTGACGGTATCCAATTTCCTTCTTATCTTTCCTTGGCTTATGCAGACTGGACCAAAAGGATTGAGTACCAGCCGGGCTCGGGGAGTGTGCCCTTATTTCCCAGCATCCACCTGGAGACATGCGATGGAGCCGTGTCGTCACTACAGGTCACTGCAGAACTTCAGACCAATTACATCGGCAAGGGCTGCGACCGCGAGACCTACTCTGAAAAGTCCCTTCAGAAATTGTGTGGTAGGTGCCTCCCACTTGGAATTTATTAACAGCTCCGAAATCATATCTACAGATAAAGTACACCCACGCTACCAGAGTAAGAGAATGAGCCCTTCCTGCCTCACTCACTCTCCAGAATAGGTACTTGCTGTTGGCAGAAGGATCAGAGCTGTTGGCATCAGACATGGCTGGTTCGGACCCTTGTGGGCTTTGGCAAGTGGTAGGGCCCAGTATCTACTCTTCACTGGCAAAATGGGGACCAAATGGCACAGTGTGTCTGAAAGCTCCTGGTACAGACCCAAGAGATGGGGCACTGTGAACAGTGATCTCAGCGTCTTGGGAAGGGGTGGTTCTTCTTTCCACCAAAGCAGCTGCATAGTTTTTAAGGCTCAGCACACTGAAATGTGGGGGCATTGTTCAACCATGATTAAGAATTTTAACATGGTCGGGCGCCAGTGACTCAGGCCTATAATCCTAGCTATTCAGCTGAGATCTGAGGATCACGGTTCAAAGCCAGCCCAGGCAGAAAAGTCCATGAGACTCTTATCTCCAATAAACCACTCAAAAAACCAGAAGTGGCGCAGTGGCTCAAGTGGTAGAGCAGTAGCTTGAGCTGAAGAGCTGAGGGACAGCATTAGGCCCAGAGTTCAAGTCCCATGACCGACAAAAAAAAAAAAAGAATTTTAACATGCCAATGGTGCAACATGAAGCCACATGCTTGCAACGTACTAGGGGACCCTGGATAGGTGTTTAGAACGTAACAGAACTCAGTGGGTTAATACTTTGGTGAGTGTCAAGCTCAAACCAAAATAGCCAAGGGATAAAACTTCGGTGATATATTGCCCACAGCAGGTAAGGAGAGCGTAGGAATCATCTCCAAGGAAGTGTGAGCACTTTATTCAGGGAGGCCATGCACATTCACGTGAAAAGCCCTGGGAGGGCAGGTGCATTCCTGAGCATGTGCAAATCAAGGTATACGTTACTGCGCACACTCCTTTCCTGTGCCCATGCCTGCCCTGCAGAGAGGATTCAAGCCACTGCGTGGCGGGCTCAGAGGGCAGGTGTAACGTGTTCAAGTTCACATACATAGGAGAGTGTCCCGAGCCAGAGTTTAATATCAGCATATTTTAAAACATCAGGATATTAAAAATCCATCCAGATATCAGAAAGTTTTTAGACTAGCCTCTGCCAAAATCAACCAGGCCCCAAAGCTAGAGTGCAGTTCTTCCCGGGGAGCCTGTGGACAGAAGGCTATGCCTCCCGTGGGACCCCCTCCCCACGCTCCCCAGTTCCTCCCCAGCACCCCAGTACCTGGCTCATGCATCCTCCTGCCCACATGCCTCTTTTCCTCTCCCAGCATGTTCCTCCCCATGTTCCCCAGTTCCTTCCCATGCACCCCAGTGAGTCCTCTTCTCCAAAGTCCAGGGACTCCCATCTGACTCCCAGCCATGAAAGCCTTACTCCTACAGGGGGCTGCACCCCTCAGGAGAAGGCTTCTGAATGTGCAGTCTGGCCTGTCATCCCCTGTGGTAAAGTTCAGAGCTAAAGTAAAATGGTGGCTAGGTATCAACACAATCTGTCCACGACACCAGACTGGAGGGGCCTGTGGGGCTGCAGATATCGCTGAACAACGTATAACAACTCCAGTATTCCAAACAGCTCTTGGAAAAACAAGGGGGGAAAAAAAGGAAAGGATAGCAAGGACCTGTGATATTTAAGAAAAATACCTCAGGCCCTGTCCTTCCGTCTTTTATGCAGAAGTCATCCAAGATGACATGGTACTCGGAATGAATACCTTGTGTGCCTAGAGTAAAAGTCAAGCGGCCCCCCTGCTACTGCCGTGGTGGGTTAGAGTCGTTTCCTGCATGTCCCCAGGTTAGGAGCAGAAGACGAATCAGCTTGTTAAAGATCAGAAGGGCTCAAGGGCACCTGGATGTGACTTCATTTCGCATGCTGCCAGGGAAGAGCTGGGGGGCAGAGAGGTGAGAAGGGTGTTCTTGGGGAAAGGAGCTTTGGAGCAAAATCACACGTGGTCTCTGAGCAGCTCGTGCCATCTGGTCCGCCAGCCTCACCTTACTGAAAGCCGTGTTAATTCAGCCAGAAAGGAGAGGCAGTTCACATGCTTGTGCACACACACACACACGCACGCACGCACACACCACAACACAGAGCTTTTATCAAGTGCTAGGAGCTGCCGTGGGGATGAGAGAAGCCTGGAAGCTTACCTTCCAAAAGCACCATCTACCTGCTCCGGGGAATGCTTCCCAGTAACCCCGGTGGCCAGACGAGCCTGCCTGATGTCACAAGTCTCTGGGAAAAGGGCAGAAGCAAAAGATGGAGGACCCCTGGCCCCAGGGTCTAGCTGAGCTTGAAGGGAGATGCAGGCCATGACCTTCCCAACATGGGAGGTGGGTACCTGAGTCCTGTGTGTGGTGTGTGGGTACTGTGACTTATAGAAGATGAATGTGTGTGTGTGTGTGTGGTGTGTGAGTGTGTGAATGAGTACACACACATGTGTGCACAGCATTCATGCATTTGGCACCCTACAAATCTTTATTGACTTTGGAGGGAAACGGGCCAGGGAAGGTGTTTTTACCAAGTCTAAATGAGATACAGTGGGTTCCAAACCATGGGAGCGGCAGTAGGGATGAGTGTAAGATAGAGTGAAGAGGCAAGAACCTGTGGTTGATCCTCTGTTGGATGAAAGAAGAATCTGAGAAGGACCCAGGCTGATCACCTTGGCTGGACAGCGGCACAACCACCCCACGCTAGGAATCTGGAGGCAAGAGCAGAGGTCCAGGAACGTTGATGACAGCCACCTACAGCACATCAAGTTCTGTGCTCTCCATTGCACCCTCTGGATCCATCCTGTCGTCAGTCCATTGCTTCCTGCTGTTTATCCATCCTGCCTTGCACAGAGGCAGCAGAGAACCCCAGACCCATGTTCCTTCTCTGTGTGGGCAAGACTTAGCCTAAGCCAGGCCCCACTGCCAGCTTAGGGAGATGTTGGTCAATGGCTTATCACTTCTTCTGAGGACCCACCAGCCTGGTGCTAGGCTTTCCAGAGAGAAAGAATCACAGCAGCGCTGTGTGGAACACAAGAAAGCCCTCAGTGAGAACTGTGAACCAAATCAAAGTTGACATCAACAGCAGCCCACGAGAAGGCTCACTCCAGTGACCCTCCGTCAGTACGTATTATATAAAATAGGAAAATGCTGTATGCTGCGTATGCCTTCCATAACTCAGAGGTCAGAGGCTGCTCCCCAGGGGGACCATGGCACTTCCCGGCAGCCAGCTGCTTCCTCCTGTATACCCTGCTGGGAGCCCATGTTCTGTTGGTAACACAAGAGCTCCCAGAACAGTTCCCTTTCAGGTACAGGCCACAGTGTGCAAGCATGCTATTAAAATCAAGTGCTTCACACGTCAGAGAATTACAGATGACCAGAGCTGACACTGTTGCTGCGGTTTATACACTTAGTAGCCAGATTTTCAGAGAATTCATTCATTCACTCATATGATCATGTACTTACTGCTTTGACAAACACTGCCTCACTGCTACTTGGCTTTACTCATCTCTGTCTCCTAAAAGGCAGACATAATTGAAAAGGGTTATGAGGCAGACTTTTGCGAGCCATGAGAGTCTCTGGTTTTCTAGCACACCTTGCAGCTTACCAGTGCTTGTCCTCACTTAGAATTTCCATCACCAGATTTGATGCCCTCAGAATAGCCCACATGGATTTTTCTTCAAGACACCCAAGAGCTAAGGCTTCCAGAGTGGACAGTGTCAGGCCCCCAGCCAGAGCCAGGGCTTCCCTTACTCAGAGAGCCAAAGGCCAAGTGGCTGAGAATGCACATGTCAGTAAAGGGCTGTATCCAAAGAGTCACGATGAGAATTTTTGTCCCTGAGACTTCCATCTATTTTCACCCTGTCCTCTCTCAGTCATCCACAGGCCACTTTGACGTGCTGAGGACTCTGTCCATAGAAGAATGCAAATACACCCATGAGTGCCTTTCAAACCCCAGCGATCTACATGCCGTCAGCACAGAGGAGGAGAGGTGCTTCATTCAGTTCCAGCATCTGCTCATGCTCACTGCCCAAGAAATCTTCCTAGGGAAATACAAAGTTACACTTCTAAAACGGTAGACAAATTATAGTAAAATTGTGAAACCTCCACTCTATCCATAGAAGGTATTTACAAGAAGACATATACAGGACGGGACTATACTCAAACCTTCTTTCATGTCTCCTGGCCCACACTAGTACTTGTTCAATACTTTTCTCTCCAAACCTGTTTGGAAGATGTTTCTAACCAGTTCCTCCACTAGCCTATGGAATTAGCGCCAGTGTTATATCACCAGGCACAGTAAAGTCCTTACCAAAGGTGGATGCTTACAGAGATGCAGAATGGCTCCCGACTGAGTCAAGCTCGGCTTCTTCTCACTAATGGAAGCCACCGGGGTTCTCTCAACACTCTGCACTCCTCCGACACCTTCTTCTGGTGGCATGGCTGGTTTCACCCTGCCTCACTGTGTATATCACTTTTGCCTCCCAAGTTGCCAATGACTTCTCAAGCAGACATAAGTAACTCGCAGAACACTATCCCAGGTCATGGGTCACAGGGCTCGGGGTGAGGGGCGGGCCTCATTGAACCTGAGGGCTGAATGGCCCATCCCAACCCAGGAGCTGAAACCCCAGGCAAGGAAACCCGCCTCCTGACGAGGACCTGTGGTCCTTCTGTCCCCTTCTTACCCCCTGCTACAGGAGCCTCCTCTGGCATCATCGACCTCCTGCCCTCCCCCAGCGCGGCCACCAACTGGACAGCGGGACTGCTCGTGGACAGTGGAGAAATGATCTTCAGGTTTGACGGCAGGCAGGGTGCCAAGATCCCCGACGGGATCGTGCCCAAGAACCTGACGGACCAGTTCACCATCACCATGTGGATGCAGCACGGCCCCAGCACGGGCGTGCGGGCAGAGAAGGAGACCATCCTCTGCAACTCAGACAAAACCGGTGAGTCTCTGGCCACCCGCCTGCACACAAGAATGGAGGGGGACGAAACCAGGAGTGTTGGGGGGGGGGGCACTCAGAATATACTCTGCTCTCTACTTTTCTGGCTGCTGATTTGCTGGTTTGGTGCGGGGGGAGATGGGGAAGGGGGAAGGTAAGTAGAGATCCAGACACAAAGAATGCAAAAGAAGAAAGCAGTGGTCTCCAAATGGAGTTCCTCAGAACTCCAGCATCCCCAAGAATGCCTTGGGGCTACTATAGGCAGGGTGGGGCCTGAGGAAAGGACCCAGCCCTCACCCTCACTTCAGCAGCGTTCCACTTTGAATATGTCATGTGAAGACTGCCAAGCGCCTTCCTTTTTGAACAAACAGTGATTTGAAAATAGCTTCCATTAGTGGAACAAATGAGGTGTGTGTCTAAGCCTGGGCAAGGCTGGCCATGCTCCATTATGTCAGGCTGGCCAGGTGGTTAAAAATGCTCCATTATGTCAGGTGCTGGCACAGCTCAAGACACAGAATGAATGCCAGCTACTCAGGAGGCTGAGATCTGAGGGTTGAGGTTTGAAGCCAGCCTGGGCAGGAAAGTCCATGAGATTCCTATTTCCAGTAAGCCATCAAAAAGTCAGAAATGCATCATTAATCTTGAATGAAAAAGTTAAGGCAACCCCCCCCCCAAAAAAAAGCTCTTAATCAGCTTTGTGACTTAGTTCAGTTATATAGCCTCATTTTCCCAGTCTGTAAAGTAGGCCTTAGCCTACATTAGGACATTCTGGCATACTCCAAGCAGGCAAAGGACTCTCCCAGTATCTGCAAAGCTCCATCTAAGTCTGTGAATCCAAGGCCGTGCTCCTTCCAAGGGGCATGTCACCTACTCGAGGCCTGTGCCTCCTCACAGACTTCTCTGTGAGCAACACAGTCGACTGAGGTCTCTGATACTGGCCTAACAAGTAGCTCCTCTCCTGCCATTCAGTGGCCTCATGGCTGGGTCCATGACGTGAGATTTCCTTAGCAAGAAAGGAAGTTTTTGTATTAGAGGAGGAAAAGGCCATTGGTGGGACAATCCCAGAATTCCATCAACTGTCCCTCCTCCCAGAAGCTACAAGTAAGCTCACTCCTCTGAACATAGATTAGCTATACAGGGCTGGGAAGGTGGCTTAGTGGTAGAATGCTTGCCTCGCACACCCAAAGCTTTGGGTTCAATTCCTCAGTACCACATACACAGAAAAAGCTGGAAGTGGCACTGTGGCTCAAGTGGTAGAGTGCTTGCCTTGAGCAAAGTGCTCAGGTCCAGAGTTCAAGCCTCAAGACTGACAAAAAAAAAAAAAAGATGTATACTGTGGTCACCTTGTCATGTGTGATGAAATAAATCCTGACCACACTATGGTAAAAATTCGTGTCAACCTGAGTAGCTGGGCTGAGGCAGTACATGAGTTCAGAACCCAGCTGGCCTCTGGGCAGAAGTTTTGCTATGGGCTCTCTCTTAAATCTTTCCCTTCCATTTCGGTGAGTTCCACCAAATGTTCTAGAACATTCATCAGAACTAATTGTAAGAAAGCAGGAGAGCCCATTGCTTTGTCCCGAGAGCCGTGCTTACGTGAGGTATTACAGACTCCCCCAGCACAGGCCGACGCACGCGGGGCTTTCTCTCACTGCCCAAGGCCTCTTTGTGCTTCCCAGAAATGAACCGGCATCACTATGCCCTGTACGTGCACAACTGCCGCCTTGTCTTCCTCTTGCGCAAGGACTTCGACCAAGCTGACACTTTTCGCCCTGCGGAGTTCCACTGGAAGCTGGATCAGGTAAGACTCTCGGGCACACGTGCCCCGGCTCTCAGCTCCTCCGGGGATGGTGGCAGGTGGGTATCTCTAGGATTTGGTGCTTTCAAAGAAATTAGCTCTGGAAGGCTCTCAGCATCTGGAAGTTAGGGTGGAAACTGCCCCCTTAAAGAGAAGAAGGACAAACTTCTCAACTGAGATGCCACGGGGCCAGCTGACTGGCCTGCATGCGCTGTGCACTGAGCTGGTGGGAAGTGAGGCCTCCCAGCTGCCAGGCCTCCTTCATGTGTTGTTAGCTTGGTGTTGTCAGTGGTCCGTGCCTCCCTTTCAGTGTTCTACCACCTCCTGTAGGTGACGGTCCAGCTTGCTTTTAGCATCAGAAAGTAGAAAACAGGGACCTTAACACAGAATTTGCTGCTGTGTTTTTCTTTTTTCTTCAATGATAAATAAAATACTTACAGAAAAAAAAAACAAAAAACAGAAAACAGGGACCTGAGGACTTTGAAGCCAATACCATCAGGGTGTTGATTTCAAGGGGAACTAATTCATGCCGGGATGCAAGTGATTGCGACTCCCTTTCGTTCTTGCCAAAGTACACATATGGATTCCCTTACACAAAGATTCATTCAGAGTGTAACAGAAATCAAGGATGTCAAGCTCAGGGGATGAGTGTTTGGGAGATCCTATGGCAACTGTCTAACCACTCCAGGAAACCTCATCCTGCTAGATCCCAGAATCCTGGGGAGATGGCAAGCAGATTTGTCTGCATGTCCTCTTGCATTGGGAAGAAAATCCCGTAGGAATGGGAAAATCTTGACATTATTTAGACCACTTTTCAGCAGTCTCACAACTATGTCCTAAAGTACCAGATGGCTTTTATGAGATGTTTTAAAATATATAATACAAATTGAAGGGATTTAAAATAAATTCCATATTGTGAGGGCATTTTTTTTTAAACACGAACATTGCCATACTGGTAACAGTAATTATAGACACCCGCGGCGGTTTCTGAGATGGGATGGAGAAGCGCGGGGACAGGCAAATGAAGTTGCAGAGTTGGAGATTAAAAATAGGCACGGGAGGAATTCTGGTTGTACAGATAAATCTATTTCAGAATCTAGCAAGAGTGAAATCTGTTCCCAAAGTAGGAACTTAAGCAAAGGCAGAGGGGCCCACCGAATGCCTTTTAGACTATGCTGGTCTTATCAGAGGGAGCTGCTCTGCATCAGGCAGGCTACCTGAGCAAGCCCAGGCTCAGCGGCTTGTCCAAGGCCACACAGCAAAGTGTAGTTGGCCTCTGCCCTTCCTGCATCGATGACAAGTGTGTGAATGTAAAATTGAACACATCTTACGATTTTAAAATCTTTGAAATTTGTAAGAGATCAGAATTATCACTGTAATGCAAATTGTTCCTACTCTTCGTTATTTTTATTTAGGCAGTTGTACAAAGTGTTTCAGGTGAACGTGTCTGTTTGTGAGTCCTATGCATTTCAACCAGTGTCACCTCTTCCGCCCTTCTCCCCTCTCTCCCACCCCACCCACCCCCTCAGTTGACAGGGCACCCTGAATATTATGACTGCATTCTCCCACCCTTCCTCCACCTCCTCCTTCCCTTAGCTTCACCTCCATGAGACAACAATGTCCAGCCTTCTGGTATCCATTCTGATGAAACCCTTCAAAACTGTTGCATCTTCTCCTTGTGCAAGCTCTACCTTAGTCTTTGACTGTGCAGGCTGACATAAAAAAAATTTAAACACTTTTTAACCCAGGCTGTGAAACCTAAATGGTAGACATTTATTTTCACATGGCTAAGGGGGCTGGGAAGTCCAGGGTCAGGGAGATTCGGCTCCGGGTGAGGGCTCTTTTCCTGGCTTGCAGAAAACATCCTTCACACGCTGTCTTTGTGGCAGAGGTGGACAGCTCCCTTCTTTTTTTTTGGGGGGGGGTGTCAGTAGTGAGGATTGAACTCTGGGTTTGGGCACTGTCCCTGAGCTCTTCAGCTCAAGGCAAGCACTCTACCACTTGAGCCACAGCATCACTTCTGGTTTTCTAGTGGTTTTTATTGGAGATAAGATCTCACGGACTTTCCTGCCTGGGCTGGCTTTGAACCGCGATCCTCAGATCTCAGCCTCCTGAGTAGCTAGGATGACAGGCGTGAGCCACTGGCGGTGGCTTCAGCTCCCTTCTAAGGAACCAGCCCTATCATATAAAGAACCCACCCTTACAACCTCATTTAATCTCTGTTGCTTCCTAAAAATGTCTAAATATGGTGGGATTTAATGTCTCAAGACATGACATTTATGAGGAAGTGACTCAGACCATACCATTTGTGTGCTAAGGAAATTACTACTAAAACTTATCAAAGACTGTCTATAGATGGATGGCCAGAAGCCACAGTGAGCCAAGTAAAGCATGCATGCTATACCCAGCTATGACTAGGATATGCATGCCACATATCCCAGTCATCCAGCAGACCAGCCTGTAGATCTGACGTTCTGAAATCTGTGCAGAAAGAACCTTCTAGAAGTTGCTTGGAAATCATTTGGAGCTCAAAATGAGCATATCTTGTAAAGCCTTCTCCCCAGGAAGTCCTCCTGGCACACCTCCCCCTCCCCAGGATGCCTCTTCTCCTCCTCAGATTCTGTGCAGAACTCCATCCTTGCTGTATCTCATTTTCCACTTTGTCCTGCCTGTCTGCTCTCTCTGTGCTGAGTATCTGGGGCCAAGACTGGGTCTCACCCAGCTCCGCCCCTTCAGTGTCTGCAACCCTGCGCACACACTCGGTGCTCAGCGAGTGCTTGTTTGCCTGACAGTGAATGGATATAGACATCAAAAGAAGGGAGAGATGAAGTGAGGAGGGAGGGGGAGAGGGAAGAAAAATCCTAAGATCCTCCTGGTGATTAATTGACCTTTTGATTCACTTGACTGAGCAATTTAAAATTCTAAAACTTTGTCATATTTTACTCTCTGGATCTCAAACAATGTTCATGTTTGATCTTGACAACTTATTTCAAAGACCCAGCTGGATTTGCCACCTGTGGGTCTACACTGGCCTTCACAAGGAAGGATTCAAGCCGCTGTAATTTTGCTATCGTGTGTCATAACTAAACTCCTGACCCAGCTGGGAAATTCCAGAAGCAACATGTCTGTTCTAATGCCTGATGGGCCTCACTTCTTCTTTTAACTCGGCAGCTTATTCTGGGTACCAATCATGCACTCTGCGCTGGGTATCCCACCTGTCCTCACAGAGGAGTCTCTGTTTTCTAGAAGTTTCCGATGATCAGGAGTCACATAGTTTGCAGTCCCATGTAATAGGTATGGACCTGGAGAAAGAAACCAGGTAAACTTCTTTGCAGGACGTCTAAAAGACTGGAGAGTTCCATGGCCTGAGGCCAGGCAACCAGGGAGAAGGAGGGACATTGTCAAGCCAGGTACAGGCTTAAGGACAAAGCGGAGACTTTCTGTAAATGTTAGGACCCAGGTATAAGGTGCCAAGTATACTAACGTGGCGTGTGATTGCATTGATTCTTTATTCCCCAAGGATGCGCCACAATGGAAGCATCTCTTATTCAGTAGAAGAGTGCACATTAAGAATGGGAGATGTGACACTTCGCCACGGCAAGTTCAGGCCCAGGCCAGGTTCTGTCGGGCTGTAGGACCAGAGTCTCTCCCTTCCTGTCTCCATAGTCGGGCCAGGGAGTCCAGCTCAAGACAGGTTTGTTTGAACAGCTAGCTCCTCCTAAGCTTGGAACCCAGGACCTGAAGTACAGGGCAGTCTGCACACAGCTTGTCAGGAGCACAGCCCTGAGTGAGGGGTCATCACAGCGACCCTGTGTGCTGTCAGGCCTTCCATCCCCACCTTAGAAGGCCTTTGCCAAGGTGTGCGGACAGCCAGGTAATGCCATTACCAGCCATCTCTCGGGAAAACCTCTGACAACCCACTGCCTTCCACAAAAGTAATCACAACAGCAAGGAGCAGGTAACTGTAATTGGATTTTTACTTGTGACTGGTTAATGCAGATTGTTCAAGTATGCAGCAAGTCATGTGCAAACCCAGACGAGAGGAAAGAATTCCCAGCGTTCACAGACAAGGTTTATTAATCTGTTGCCCCTTCTGACTTTAATATTATTTGGATATGGTTGACTCAGTGTTGCGAACTGTCTTGACCTCCCCCTTCAGACCTGTCGGGGCCGGGATGGAAGCTTGTTGACAGTCTACTGCAGTTCCCGCTTGGTGGTTGATACAGCTTGAGTGGCATCCTCAGCCAACCAGCAAGAGCACAGGTGCCCTTGCCTCCTATGGGGGCAGGGGGGAATCACTCTGAGAAATTGTAATGAGCCTAAAATGCAGAGAGCAGATTCATTTGGTTGGATATTATGCACCAGGATCTGACTCGACCCTGGGAAAGCTCACGGCTCTGCCACTTTTATTCCCGGTTGGTATACCGTGAGGAGGATTCTCCCGCAGAAGTCACACACCCCAACAACTGTGTGCTGCCAGGATGATGAAGGAAGACCCCGGCTGCCGTGCACCTCCAGGCTCTCTTCTCTTCTGAATCAGGCTTGCTACTCTACCGCCATGCATCCAAAAGCTGAAGATCAGATTTTCATGCGCAACATCCTATTTTTTAAAAATCTACCAAGCCAGATGCCAGTGACTTATGGCTGACATCCCAGCTACTCAGGAGACTGAGATCTGAGGATTGTAGTTCAAAGCCAGCCAGAGGTTGAGGGATAGCACCTAGGCCCTGAGTTCAGCCCCAGGACCAGCAAAAAAATATATATATATATATATATATATATCATTGTAAAAAAAAATGTCTATCAGGCTGGGAAGGTGGCTCAGTGGTAGAGTGCTTGCCTCGCATGCATGAGGCCCTGGGTTCAATTCCCCAGCACCACGTAAGCAGAAAAAAGCTGGAAGTGGCGCTGTGGCTCAAGTGGTAGAGCGCTAGCCTTGAGCTGAAGAGCTGAGGGACAGCGCCCAGGCCCAGAGTTCAGGCCCCACGACCAACAAAAGTGTC